TGCGTCTCAGGGTCATCAGGAAGGCCAGAACAAAGTGCATGAAGAAAGATAATCCGGACCTTAAAGACCCACAAAACAAAAATGTCTGCATACAACTAAGCCATGTAAATGATGTCCCCTAATATTTTAGTTAATATATTTTGAGATTTTTATTTTTAAAAAATAAATGATAAATCCCAGCACTCAAGAAGCGGAGGCAAATTTCTGAGTTTGAGGCCAGCCTGGTCTACAGAGCAAGTTCTAGGACAGCCAGGAGTACACAGAGAAATCCTGTCTCCAAAAACACANAAATCCTGTCTCCAAAAAAAAAAAAAAAAAAAAAAAAAAAAGGAAGAAATGATCAATTTAAAATTAACAAAGTAGAACTCAGAAGTAATAAATCAATTGTTTTACTTAAGTTTAAAGTGGTTACAATCTTCATAGATGTTATAAAATAAGATACACACATATGTATAACCATTTGGTTAAAAGAACAGGAGACATGAATTACTACAATTACTTTTAAGAAAATGTTTCATTGTTGAATGCTTTTTTGTTTGGTTGGTTGGTTGGTTTGTTTTTCGAGACAGGGTTTATCCGTAGCTTTAGCTTTTGGGCCTGTCCTAGAAACTAGCTCTTGTAGACCAGACTGGCCTCAAACTCACTTAAATCCACCTGCCTCTTCCTCCCAAGTGCTGGGATTAAAGGCGTGCGCCACCACCGCCCAGCTTGTTGAATGTTTTAAAACAAAAATAAATGTATCAAAATGTCTCTTGGTTCAGAATACACAAATCACGTTTCAATTTAATTACTCATTTCAATTTAATTACTCATATAAGAAGCAATGATAGTCTAAATTTCAGAACAAATTTGTAAAGTAAAATACTAGCCCATATCACAGAAAGTATTTATGAATTCTCTGTCCTGTACAGTATCTTCCTTGGCTTCAGCTCTATCTTCCAAGCTGAGAAGTAAACTTTATCTCCAGTCATTTTCAGAGATCACCCATTTTTCTGGCTTCTGGTTTTCTTGGTTAGATCCTGATACCGTTCCTAGTAGACTGTAAGCAACTGGAGAACAAGGTGTGTGGCGGCTTCACTTCGGTTTCTTGTACCAAATCTAAGCAAACAAATGAGTGACTAGTGACATCAACTTCCTTTCAGAACTGCACATGTGTCCTGTAGTAAAGAGAAACTTAAAAGTCCGCATCTTTAAGAGTTCCTGTGGCATTTCTCTCCTCCAACTGATTTTTCAAGTGTTACACTACAGATTATATGGAAATTAAGTTTTAACCCTATAGCCATAAACTGAAATTGCAAACAAACCAGTGCCTTTTCTATCCTTGTTCTTACTGTTCAATGACTTTTCTACTCTTGGATTTCTACTGAGGCCCTATACAATAAAAGGTATTATTACTCTACCTTTTAGGTAAGTCCTAAAGTGTAAATGAGCTATTTCCTTACAACTTTAGTAACATTTAATCTACATACAATAACCTGCAAAAAATGTCCAGTGTGTGATCCGATGGAGCTGGGCCTATGTGCACACCTGTGAAGACCGTCTTGCAATCAGGAGGAATTTCCTTGACTCTCCTAAGCAGCCCCCCTCCCTCCCTCTGCCCGTTCCCTAAGTGCAGAGTTACTGCTGTACTTTCTATTACCTTAGTTGTATTTTTTGGAATCTTATTATTTTAAAAAGATGGAATCATAAGTGTACACTCTCTTGAACTTCTGTCTTCACACAATTATTTTAAAAAGAAAGTGTCCAAAGTGTAGCATACAGTCTTCTCATTTCTCCTGCTGAACAGCTATTTCAACCCAGCTGCCCTGCTGTTTCTTTACACACCTTCCTACCGATGCAAATCTAGGCTGTTTTGAGGCTTTGAAGTTCAGATCCCTAATCCCAACATCCAAAATCTCAAGACAATCTAGAACTTTCTGAGTCCTAAATCATACCAGTGAACAACTCCACACCTGACCAGAGTGACAGGCACATCACAAACACTGCATTAAAGGGCTTTGAAAGGTGTCCACGAAACAAATGTTATGTTGGAAAATCTGGGTTCCTATCCCGTAAAATGTCTCATGAGCAAGTGAATTATCACATTTACCAAACTTATATCAAATATCACATAATATCAAAATTATCCCCTATAAAGTCCAAACTTCCAAATCATTTCCGGTCTTAAGCATGAAAAAGGACACAGAAGCTGTACTAGAAATGAAGCTTCAAAGAGCTCAGGTGACTCTTCGCAGCCCACGGGAACAGAGTGGCTGGTGCACCTTTACTTGGTGAACGACAATGACATCTTTTGTTCATTTTAAATTGCATTTCTTTCTTCCTGTTGAGTTTTAAGAGCTTTTAAAAGTATGTATTCTAGATATAAATCTTTGTTAACTATATAATATACACTTTCATGCACACAACCCTGTGTGTGCCAGGCGTGTTCTACCATTGAGACACATCTTCAGCCGAAACAGAAAATGTTTAGGTTTTGCTTTTGTTTTTAGACAATGTCTGTTTAGCACACGGGGGCCTGAAATGCCTAACTCTCATCTCAGCTTCCAAAGTAACGAGATTACAAATCTCCATTTTTAAAAGTGTAGACGGGGTGATGTAACTCAGAGGTACAAAGGGTATTTACCATACACAAGACCTTGTGTTTAATCCCAGAACACACCGAAATGAGTTTTAAAATTATTCTTTTACAATCTCTTTCCCCCCCCCCCTTTGATTAGGGTCCCTCTCATTATTTCCCCTTATCTCATTCCCCATCCACCAAATGCTTCTCAAGTCCCCTTTCTTTTGTCACATTTTCGGTGACCCATTGCATGTAATTAGGACTGCCTGCAGGAGCATGGTGAGGGCCCTTTCTTGAAGGGTTACTGCAGCCTTCATTGGTCTGTAGTCCCTCTGGGAGAAATGGACCTTATGCGCCCTCCCCAGGGATGGAATGTTGATTGCTCCGAGTTCGTGACAGCATCCTCGACACCAAGTCCAGAAGTCTGCACTTCACAGAACTTACTGCTGTCTTTCAGCTCTGACCTTCTTTCTGTTCCTCTTCCTTGCTATTCCCTCAACTGGACGGGTGGAGAGACAGGTGTTCTATTTAGGGCAGTGCACTCAGCAGACATTTGGCCCAAGCAGTGACAAGCTATGGATCTCTGCATTGCCCTCGACCCACTACTAATAGATGCTTCTCTGAACAAGGCTGAGATGGGGGAAACTGCTTTGACAATTAGGCTATGGCAATATAATAATCATCATCTGTATTCCGAGCTATTGTTATGCTATGGGAATCCATTATCTATAATCCACAGCTACCAAATTTCCATGCTTATTAAGCCTGATAAAATATGACAAATAGGTAAATGGGATCGGCAGAATGTCTGCTTAGTATGCATGAATCCCTAGTTCCCCTCCCCAGAACCACATAAAGTTGGGCATGTGTCACAGTCTGGGGGGTAGAGGCAGAAGGATCAGATCAAGGGCATCCTCGGCTACATGGCAAATTTGGGTTTAGCCTGGGCTTTATGAGAGCCTTTTTTTTTTTTTTTTAAGGAAAATAGAATATAGGAGGACATTCTTTTCAGTTCCTCTTGACTGAGGTATGCCTTGGCAAACTACTAGCGGGAAAATGCACAGAATTAGTCCTCAGGCATTTTTTTTAAAGGCAGCCGATAAGCAGTGACATTATTACTTCTATAGCCTTCTGTGTCTCTTAAACTCGCATTTCCTGCCCTAGAACTAATCCCTGCAGTGTGTGTGACTGTGACTGTTAACATCTTTGCCTGCTACATACTTCCATTCTCATTTCTTCGGTCCTCCACACATTTTCCTGTAGTCTCCAGCAGCCCTACCTGTATCTTTACTAAACCTGGCCACAGAATTTTACCTGCCTTATACTAGATCTCTAACATGCTTTTTACTCCAAGAGAATAAAACAACAAATAAAAAACTCTTAGTTCCAAAAGGAAGTGAAGCCATATTTTCAGTAGTAACCCAGTGAACAGTACTCGCTACCAGCAAAGCGAAACATTCTTGGTTTAGACTTTACATATTCCCAACAATGGACGAACAACGTTTCTAAAACAAAAGTGAATTGAAGGGCAGTGCTGGGACTAATTCAGATACAGGGCATACCATGTTATGAAACAGTCAACATGCATTGTTTAAGCCATGTTCTACAGGGGAAAAAAAAAAAGGTATTTCTTCTTAAATTCTCATAGGAAATATCTATGGAAGATGTTACAATGTCAGACACAACTGGAAGTTGTTTATATAAGCTCTTTACATGGACTGAGATAAACTGCAATGGCAATTTCTTTTTTTATATATATTTATTTATTTTTTAATATGTATACAATATTCTGTCTGTGTGTATGCCTGCAGACCAGAAGAGGGCACCAGACCCCATTATAGATGGCTGTGAGCCACCATGTGGTTGCTGGGAATTGAACTCAGGACCTTTGAAAGAGCAGACAATGCTCTTAACCACTGAGCCATCTCTCCAGCCCCTTAAATGGCAATTTCTAATATGATATTGTCAGAGTACAGACAACCCTGGTGTTAGAAATATTCCATGGAAGAGAGAAGGTAGGACAACTACATTAGACTGGCTTCTCCCCTGCTAAAGCTCCTAGTCCCTTTAAGACAGGCTTTCACTGTATAGGCCACGCTAAACTGGAACTGACAATCCCCCTGTCTCAGCCTTCAGAATGCTAGATTACAGGCAAGGGTCAAAAGACCTCAACAGAGTGGTTCATAACAGACATCTAATGCCAGTTTATTGTGATATTACGCCTAAAAAGAATCACACATTTAAAAAATTAAATTTCCCCTATAAAAAATTAAATCTTACATTATTAAAAGTTACAGGTACACTAGAATAACAGCTTTGTTCCTAAATACCCAACAAGCATTATATAAAATAATCATATGCTAGTAAAAAATTATGTAATCTTGAAATTTTCTTAACTAGTTTCCTTTTACTATAAAAAAATGTAAAGATTGGCTTCAAATTCACTTTTAGTAATATAAAATATGAACTTTATTGTATAAAACAAACAGGCATTATCAAAAAATTATTTATCTAAGTTAAAGTGTTTTAAATGTATATAAAATTGTGAAATAACATGCTTTACCACTGAAGATACTTGATACAATATCCAATGACAGGATAAAACACATGTCTACTTTACTTCTGTCCCATTTTCAAGTCACCGTATTGAGCGATACATCATAAAATCAATAGTTGTGCATCTAGGGAACTTTCCAATAGAGCTCTCTTCCACTGGTGTGTATATCTTAATCTGTCTCATGTGGGTGTCTCTTCCATTTTGGTGATTGGCTAGAACGGCGATCTGTATCATGAACGTGCGAGTTGGCTTCTTATGATTGTCAGTTAAAGGAACGTGAATCCAGCCACTTGGCTCCACCAATTCAAGTTGCTGATAAGAAAAAAAAAAGTCCAATTATGCCTTCACTCTATAAATAAGTTTATAATGAATGCATTCTATAATATTCTTAAATTTCTGCTCACTGAAAGAATAACAATATACTAACCACCTTGCTTGGCCTACTAACCCATGGCTTCTTAGATTTGTGAGCCTTTACAAGACACTGAGCATATACATAAAACAGATATAGAAAGCATATATAAAACAGATATGGAAAGCAAACATTTACTGATAATAAATCAGAAAAAATGATTGTAAAATATTTTTTTGGTATATATAATTTCGTAAGTTATAAAAGACGGAAGTACTTGAAAGTAAAATATGTAGAGCACTGTCAGTATTTTTCAGCTGACTGATATTTTGATTTTATAATCACAAATGCCAAAAACTTCACTTTGCACAAATACATAGTACAAAATTATAGAAGTATATTTAGGACTATTTTAGAAATTATGAAGATTCTATCATATTCCTGAACCACGTCACTGAAATTCAAGCCAGAGTCTGCATTGTTTAATCTGCTGTTCTGTCTTTATCCTGTTCCAAATAAAACTTTTAAAGGAAATTGTCACTTTTGTAGATAAAAACCAGAAGAGGTAAACTTCATTTCTATATGATTCTACTTTCTTAGGAAGAAGTTTACAAGTTAATATAAATTTCATTACTATCAAGTTTATAGGCTCTTTCTTGGTTTAAAGTTCTTTTTCTTTCAAAGTATTGAATGTGACCTCAAAGCAAAACTCCCTTTCCTCAAAGTATATGTGTACCATACACACACACTCCACCAACAACAACTTTAAAAAAGAAGAAATACCATCTCTAGGGATAACCAATTGCTTTCCGACTGGATTCGAGGCCCAGCCCAAAAGAAGGACCTTGTGCCTGTTGGTGTAAACTTGGTCAAAAGCCTATGAGTGGGAAGGTCATGGCCCAATAGGAAACCCACTACTTGTTTCACTAAACTGATGTGTTATCAAGCTGTAATTTAAATACTGATGTTTATACCCATATACCAGAGCTGCTCTCAGTCCTGGTCAGAGGTTTCTTGTTGCAATGGGTGGTGGTTACCTCAAAGTCTCACACGTGGTCAAAACGCTGACAATAAATGAAAATGAAGAGATCGCCCATAAATGGGGCGTCTATCTTATCCCCTCCAAGGTTCAGAGGGTATCTCGGAAGAGAGGCAGAAAGGATGTAAAAGCTGGAGATAGAGAGGTGTGCTGTGAAGTCCTGTGGCTGTGCCGCAGCTACTCTACTCATGACCTCATGCTACCTATGGCTACTACACGAGACCTGCACAAGACAGCCTGGAAACATCCATCCTGAACGGGAAAGGAACTCATGAGGCCTCACCCCTCCTTGAGGAACTACTGGCAGTTGGAGGGGGAGTATCTTTTATCTTAGTGGTGTATCACTAATAAATTGTCCTTATTCCAGTAAATTACTCTCCACCCATGCTCATATAAGCAATCATAATTAAACTCAGACATGAAACAAGTAAATTATTTTTCCTTTTTAATTTTTTTAAAAAGAAAACAATCTTTTTTCATTATACATACCAATCCAAGTTCCCACTGCCTCCCTTCCTTCCATTCCCCCCACATACTCTCCCACCCCACCCCACCCCCCATTCCACTCCTCAGAGAGGGTAAGGCACATTGCTTTGGGGAAGGTCCAAGGCCCTCCCTACTATATCTGGGCTGAGCAAGGTATCCGTTCAAAGAGAACAGGATCCCAAAAAGCCAGTACAACCAGTAGGTATAAATCCTGGTGCCACTGCCAGTGGCCCCTCAGTCCGCCCCAGCCATGCAACTGTCAGCCACATTCAGAGGGACTAGTTTGGACCTATGCTTGTTCCTTCCCAGTCTGACTGGTGTTGGTGAGCTCCCATTAGCGCGGGTAGACTGTAAGAGGTAAATTATAACAAACAAAGGTGGACACGAGAGTAAGGGATGTGTTGGGAGGAAGAGCTGCAGCAGGAAGGAAGGGGATGGATGACGGGAGATAGAAGTAATAAAAGTTCACTACACATGTAGGAAACTGGCAAAGAAGAAAAGTAAGCCTCAGGCTGGGCTGGTGTATAACACATCTGTCCAAAGACTACACAGACAGAGTCCTATTCTAAACAGTTATGCATTTGCTGAGTACGATGGTACCTATCTTTAATCCCAGCACTTGGGAGACAGAGACAGGCAGATCTGAATTTGAGGGTACCCTGATCAATAGAGAAAGTTCAATATATTAAAATGCTCATAGAGCACGAGCAAGGAACTCAGGACCGCGAGGGGTGCACCCACACACTGAGACAATGGGGATGTTCTATCGGGAATTCACCAAGGCCAGCTGGCCTGGGTCTGAAAAAGCCTGGGTTAAAACAGGTCTCACGGAACATAGCGGACAATGAGGACTACTGAGACCTCAAGAACAATGGCAACGGGTTTTTGATCCTACTGCACGTATTGGCTTTGTGGGAGCCTAGGCAGTTTGGATGCTCACCCTACGAGACCTGGATGGAGGAGGGTGGTCCTTGGACTTCCCACAGGGCAGAGAACCCTGATTGCTCTTTGGGCTGACGAGGG